AAGTGAAATAAGTCAGACAGAGAAAGAAAAATATTGTATGACTTCACTTATATGTGTAATCTTTTAAAAAAAAAAGTCAGTCACAGAAAAAGAGATCAGATGTATAATTATTAGAAGTGGTGGGGGTGGGAGAATTGGATGAAGGTCGTCAGAAGGTACAAACTTCCAGTTATAAGATAAATAAGTACTGGAGATGTACTTCATGATGACTACAGTTAACAATGTTGTATGGTATATCTGAAAGTTGCTAAGAAAGTAAATCCTAAAAATTCTCATTACAAGGAAAAGAACATTTTTTTCTACCTTTTTTTGTAGGCAATGTTGGATGTAAACTAAACTTATTGTGGTAATCATTTCACAATATATGTAAGTCAAGTCATTATGCTGTGCACCTTCAACTTATACAGTGCTGTATGTCATTATGTCTCAAAAAAACTGATAGAAAAAAAAGAAAAGTGAATTTCAGTCTTCTTAATTAATTGGCATATTCACCCAGGGGTCAATTATGCAACTTGAAATGCAAAATAGTTGTTTCACTAAAATAGCTTGCACAGGACATCAGCAAGATACCAGAATAGGAAGCCCCAGTCCCAGTTTCTCCCACAGAGACACCAACTTAAGAATACATGGACCAACTACCTTTGTGAGAATTCCATAAACCATAAGAGGTTCCTGTACCCAGGCAAGCCCAAAGCCAAGATGAACCACATCAAAGCCGCTAGGAAAATTCATGGCATTGTACACATCTAAACCCCTCCTCCCCAGCACAACACAATACACTTGGGAGAAAATGCTCAACATGTGCCTTCTCCTTAGGAAAGTAAAGAGAAGAGTGGAATATATGTACAATGTTCTGGCTTTTCAAGGGGCTAAAGGACTGATTGCTCTCTTGCCTGAATCAAAACATTTGACAGGAATGGGCACAAGGGTATGGACTGCTGATAATAAAGATGAACACCAACAGCTTTTTCCAGCACCAGAGAGATTGCAGTACTACAGATATACACTAGGAGAAGCTCCTGAGTAGAATTACACAAACCTCTTCAAGTAGGAGATTACATGCACAGTCAAATAAGATGCATAGCTGGAAAAAGACAGTGAGGTCACCAGAATCTCTTGTTGGGCTGATTAGCAAAGATCTTCCTGTATATGATGCCAATCTACAAACACTAGAGAAGTGGTTGTTTTTTCAAATGCCCAAATTGCAACAAAAGATCACAGGCATATCTAAAAAGAAAAACAGGAAAATGTGGCCCAATCAAAGGGACAAATTCAACTTCAAGAAACTAACCATAAAAAAAAAAAACTAACCATAAAGAAATGGATATCTATGAATAATCTGACGAGTTAAAAAAATCTTAAAGATGAACAATGAACTAAAAGAGAATACAGAAAGACAACTAAACAACATCAGAAAAACTATGCACAAACAAAATGAGAATATCAAAAAAGAGATAGAAATTATGAATAAGAATGAAACAGAAATTCTGGACCTGAAAAATACAACAACTCAATTGAAAAATTCATTAGGCAGTTATAACAGCAGACACAACCAGCAGAAGAAAGAATCAGTGAACTTGAAGACAGACAGGTGATTCAAAATTATCAAGTCATAAGAGCAAAAAGAACATGATGTAGCCTTTAAAAAGAAGGAGATTCTCTTACAAACTACAATATGGATGAACCTCAAGGACATTTAGCTAAGTGAAATAAGCCAATTACAAAAGGATAAAATTGTATGACCCTACTCATATGACTCTAAAGTAGTCAAAATCATAGAACTAAGTAGAAAATTGGTTGCCAAGTGCTGGGAGAATGGAGGAGAGGGAACGGGTATGGAGTTTCAGCTTTGGTTCCAGTTCCACATGTAAGAAGCTTGAAAGACCACTCCATCCTAACAACAAGTAAAAAGCTGAACTGACTGAAAAAACAACTCTTCTCGGATCCATAAAAGAGGTGAGGACACAGGAAATATTATGGCCCCTGAGATTAGAGGGACAGACAGATGAACACAGGGAGTCATAGCTTCTAGTAGCAGGGACTCTTCAGCAGAAACTGCCATGGGAACCAGTGCCAGGGCAGGAAAATCTGAACTACCATTAACAAACTGTTGGAGGCTCATTGCAGACAAGTCTGACAGTTAAAACTCCATGAGGATTTAGTCTTAGAGGGGTGCTCAGTCCTACGGCCCCCCATACTTTTGTGAGTTTTTCCTCCAGGAACTCAATTAGGTTCTCAGAGAACACCAAGCATGATAAAAGCTAAAAAGAGAAAAAAACTACATTAGGCATATTGTTTTCAAACTACAGAAAAATCAAAGATAAAGAAAAACTCCTGAAGGAATTACAGAAAAAAAACCCACCTTACTTATAGAGAAACAGAGATAAGAATTACATTTAACTTCTCAGAAACAATGCAAGAAAGAGAGTGGAGTGAAATATTTAGTGTTGAGAGAGAAAAAAAATCAACCTGGAAATCTTTACCCTGAGAAATTATCCATCATAAGTGAAGGAGAAATAGACTTTCTCAGACAAACAAAAATTGAGAGAATTTCTTGCCAGTAGACCTACCTTGCAGAAAATGTTGAAAAAGTTCTTTAGAGAAAAGGAAAATAATACAGGTCAGAACCTTAGATCTACATAAAGAAAGAAATGTATCAAAGAAGCAATGAAACAAAAACTTTTTTCTTATTCTTACTTGATCAAACAGACAACTGTTCAAAATAATAAAACAATGCATATATCATAAATATATGCTTATGTATGCTTATATATATGAGAAATGAATTATAGCAACGATACAAGGGATAGGAGGGAAAAATTAGATTATTTTGTTATTCTAAGGTATTCCCACTACCTGTGAAGAAGTATATTGTTATTTGAAAGTGGACTTACATTAGTTGTAAAAGTGTATTTGCAAATTCTAGCTAAATCACTAAAGTACAAAATAAATTATAACTGATATGCTAAGAAAGGAGAGAAAAATGGAATGATTTTCTTGATTAAATGATCAATTAAAACCACAAAAGGCAGGAAAAAAACAGTGAAAAACAAAATAGGAACAAAAAATAAGGGCAGAAAATAGAAAACAGTAGCAAATCTGATAGATATTAATCCAATTATGTCAATAATCACTTTGAACATCAATGGTCTAAATGTACCAATTGAAAGACAGAGATTGTCAGAGTGGATCAAAAAATAAGACTCAATTATATGTTGTCTACAAGAAACCCACTTTAAATATAAAGGCACAAATAAATTAAAGTAAATGGATAAAGAAAAATATACCATGCTAATGCTAATTAAAAGAATGCAGGAGTAACTATATTAATTTCAGACACAGCAGATGTCAAAGCAAGGAAAGTTATCAAGGATAAAGAAGGACATTGCTGTTGTTAGCGCCATCAAGTCAATTCTGACTCCTAGTGCCCCTGTGCACAGTAGAGTGGAACTCTACCTGGTCTTTCTATGCCATCCTCTCACCTTCCAGCACTATATCAGACAATGCTCTGCTGCTATTCATAGTGTTTTCACAGCTAATTTTTTTCAGAAATGGGTGGCCAGATCCTTTGTCCTAGTCTGTCTTAGTCTGGAAGCTCTGCTTAAATGTGTCCACCATGGGTAACTCTTCTGGTATTTGAAATACTGGTGGAATAGTTTTCAGCATCACAGCAACATGTAGCCACTACAGTATGACAACCAACAGATGGGTGGTGTGGTCCCCTAATGGGGAAATGAACCCGGGCCACCATGGAATCTTAACTTCTAGACCACGAAGGCTGGCAATAAAAGGGCACGACATAATGATGAAAGGGTCAGTTCTCCAAGAAGACATGATAATCCTTCATATAAACATGCCTAATGATAGAGCACCAAACTACATGAGGCAAAAACTGACAGAATTGCAAAGAGAAATAAATAAATCCACTATCAGAGCTGGAGACTTCAACATCCCTTTCTCAGAAATGGGAAGATCCACCAGGCAAAAAATCAATAAGGATATAGGTGAACTCAATAACACTATCAATCAACTGTTTATGACTCATATCTAAAGATTAGTTCATCCAACAACAGCAGAATACACATTCTTCCCAAGCTCATATGGGATATTCACCAAGATAGACCACAATGTGGGCCATAAAACACATCTTAAAAGATTTAAAAGAACAGAAATCATACAATGTCTGCTCTTAAAACCACAGTGGAATTAAACTAGAAATGAGTAACAGAAAGATAACTGGAAAACCCAAAAATACAGGGAGATTAAATAAGACACTTCTAAACAATATATGGGTCAAAGAAGAAATCTCAAGAAAAATTTAAAAATATTTTGAGCTAAATGAAAATGAAAACAGAACTTATCAAAATTTGTGGAATGCAGCAAAAGCAATGCTTAGAGGGATTTATAGCATTGAATACATACATTAGAAAAGAAGAAAGCACTAAAATCAATCATCTGTTTCCACCTTAGGAAACTAGAAAAAGAAGAGTAAATTAAACCCAAAGTAAGCAAGAAGAAAGTAAATAAGACAAAGCAGAAACCGATGAAAATGAAAAAACAGGAAATCAATAGAGAAAATTAGTGAAACCACAAGCCGGTTCTTTGAAAAGATCAATAAAATCAATAAGCCTCTAGTAAGGCTAACTAAGAAATAAAGAGGACACAAATTACTAATATCAGAAATGAAACAGGGAGCATCACTACAGATCCCATGCAAAATTAAAACAATTATAAAGGAATACTATGAAAAATTCTATGTCTGAAAATTCAATAATCTAGATGAAATGGACCAATTCCTTGAAAGACACAATCTGCCAAAACTCACACAAAAAGAAATAGAATTTCAGCTTTGTAAGATGAAAAAAGTTCTGGAGATCTATTATAAAACAAAGGGAATATACTTAAGACTCCTGAAATGTACACTTAAAAATGTTTAAGACATTAAATTTAATGCTATGTGTTTGCTACCACAATTAAAGATAAAAATTTTTAAAAAGTACCTCACACAGCCTCAGATAGCCCACTTTTGTTCTGGTTTTCTTAGCAATCTTTATCCTCTGCAGGAAAATATTTCTGTAATTACAAAACGTGTTCTTTCAGGTATATAAGATAGTATACTGGTTAGCCAGGCAAACACTTTTAGATTTCCTTTTACCTTAAATGACAAATACTACCCTCATTCTTTTGTACTCAAATGAATGCAATATAGCAAAAAAGAAACTAATCCAACCTTTCCTTATTTATACCACCTAGAACTGATGTCTCTATCTCTAGTGAAGGCTGTTGCTTATAATATCATTTCATCCATAGCAACAATCTTTGCTAGACTATTAGGCAAAAGTATAGCTGAGGTCAGCTAACATTTGCTATATATACCACTGATCTAGATAACTAAAGCTTTACCAAGTTTATAAATGGCACATGAGAGTACAGATAGCACATGAGAGAAAACATGAGAGGTTTCATGAAGTCATGTGGAGAAACTGAAAATAAAAATGTTTATTAACAATCCATAAGTACCGGGAGCAAAATGGCGGGGTGAGCTGAACCAGGATTCTCTCCCCTCCAAAATATAACAAAAGATTGGAAGAACTGAATTTCTGAGAATAAACATAATGCCAGCTCGTTAGAGACCTACAATACCAAGAAGGCGGAGATCATAAACCTTCCTCACACCCTCGGAGGCGCTGGAACGGTAGGAGAGAACATCACTCCCTCCCCTAGAGTCTGCGATCGCTGCGGCGCGGGTCGGGAAGGAGCGGGGGAGGGGCTGTGCAACAGGGGATCATCCAGGACTCCTGCCGCTGATTCAGTGGAGACCCGCTGACGGGGAAGAAAGCTTCCGTCCGCGGGGACCCTATAAATCAAGGGCCTTGGGAGACCAGAGAACAGAACTATCTGAACCCAGACCGGTGCGTGTGAGTGACAGCCCCTCCCCACAAGCGAGGCCAGTGGGCGCAGCCATCTTGCCCCAAGGCGGAGAGCTAACACGCCGCTCTCGACTCCCATCTAGTGGCAACAGGCTGTAACTGCAACTGAATTCTACCACCATGAGAAAAAACCGCTCCTCTACCATCCAGCAATTTATAAAAGCCCCAGACCAGAAGGAAAACAATAAAACCACAGAATTAAGTCCTGAGGACTTGGAATTAGGTAAACTAAGTGATAATGAATTCAGAGCAGTTATAATCAAAAAACTCAATGAGGTAGAGAGAAAGATAGGGAAACAAGCCAAGTTCTGGAGTTACTTCACAAAAGAGATTGAAATCATAAAGAAGAATCAAACAGAATTACTTGAGATGAAAAACACAATGGACCAGATAAAACAGAATACGGATTCCCTGAATGCCCATGTAGACAACATAGAGGAGAAAATCAGCATAATCGAGGACAGACAGGCTGAATGGTGCCAGACAGAGGAAGAAAGAGAACTAAGAATTAAAAAAAATGAGGAAAATCTCCGAGAGATAATGGATTCAATGAGGAGTAAGAACATAAGGATCATAGGAATTCCCGAGAATATGGAAAAGGAAAATGGAGCAGAAAGTGTGCTTAATGAAATTATTGAAGAGAACTTCCCAAATCTAGGGATCAACGGAGAAATGTGTGTAGAGGAGGGTTTTAGATCTCCTAGATTTGTCAATGTAAAAAGACCCACCGCAAGGCACATAATAGTAAAGTTGGCAAATAGGAATGATAAGGAAAGAATACTCAGGGAAGTAAGGGAAAAAAAAGAGAATAACCTATAAAGGAGCCCCTATCAGACTGTCAGCGGATTTCTCTACAGAAACCCTACAAGCTAGGAGAGAATGGAGTGATATATTCAAAGCTTTAAAGGATAAAAACCTTCAGCCAAGAATACTCTATCCAGCAAGAATTTCCTTCAGATATGAGGGAGAAATTAAATCTTTTCCAGACAAACAAAAGTTAAGGGAATTTGTAACTAAAAGCCCTCCATTACAAGAAATCCTCAAGAAGGCTCTCATACTTGAAAAAAGAAAAAAGGGAGAAAGGGGACACAAGCCACAGACTAGGGAGACCAATGGATAGAACCAGAACAGGATAGCAAATATTCAACTATAGCATTAGGGTAAAAATAAGGAAACTACCAAAACAAGGACGATCTTAGCACTCTAACTACAAATTAATAAGACGAGTTGGAATAAAAAATGAAAATAATTATTTAGGAGGGGAAGAGCAAAGGGTCTAAATCAGTATTGGTCGAGTAAGTAAGAGACCACCAGAGAATAGACTATTATTATACACGAGATTCTAAATACAAACTTCAAGGTAGACACTAAAATAAAGTACAGAACAGAGTCACAAATCATAGATAAGGAAAAATCTAAGAAACCCAGCATAAGAAATTGCAGTATTAAATGGATAGTCTAAAGCACACAGGAAAAGAAACACAGGAAAACAAGATAATGAGCGACAGATTGACAGCATTAAGTCCACATGCATCAATAATCACTCTCAATGTGAACGGATTGAACTCTCCAATAAAAAGACACAGAGTGGCAAAATGGATTAAAGAACAAGATCCAACAATTTGTTGCCTCCAGGAAACACACCTCAGCCCCAAGGACAAACACAGACTCAGGGTGAAAGGGTGGAGGACAATACTTCAAGCAAATAGCAAGGGAAAAAAGGCAGGTGTTGCAATTCTCATATCAGACCAAGTGGATTTCAAAATAAGACAGGTAAAGAGAGACACAGAGGGACAATATATAATGATCAAAGGGACACTTCATTAAAAAGAAATAACGCTTATAAATATCTATGCACCCAACACAGGAGCACCAAGATTCATAAAGCAACTATTAACAGACCTAAAGGAAGATGTTAAAAACAACACAATAATAGTAGGGGACCTCAACACCCCACTCACATCAATGGACAGATCATCCAGGCAGAAAATCAACAAGGAAACAGTGGAGCTGAATGAAAAACTAAAACAATTGGACTTAATAGACATATATAGATCACTCCACCCTGAAGGAGCTGAATACACATTCTTCTCAAGTGCACATGGAACATTCTCTAGGATAGACCATATGTTGGGAAACAAGGCAAGCCTCTACAAATTTAAAAAAATTGAAATAATAACAAGCATCTTCTCAGATCATAGTGCTATAAGGCTAGAAATTAATTACAAGAAAAAAGCTGAGAAAGGCACAAAGATGTGGAGACTAAACAACACACTACTGAACAAGCAATGGATCATTGAAGAAATTAAAGAAGAAATAAAAAAATACCTGGAAACAAATGAAAATGATAGCATGCCATACCAACTCATATGGGATACAGCAAAAGCTGTATTAAGAGGAAAATTCATCGCAATACAGGCACATCTTAACAAACAAGAAAAATCCCAAATAAGCAACCTTAAACTCCACCTAACTGAACTAGAGAAAAAAGAACAAATGAAGCCCAAAGTCAGCAGAAGGAGAGAAATAATAAAAATCAGAGCAGAAATAAATACTATTGAAACGAAAAAGGCAGTAGAAAGGATCAATGAGACAAAGAGCTGGTTTTTTGAGAAGATAAATAAAATTGACAAACCACTACTACCCAGACTTAGAAAGAAAAAAAGGGAGAAAGCTCAAATAAACAAAATCAGAAATGAGCGAGGAGAAATAACAACAGACTCTGCAGAAATACAACGGATTATAAGAGAATACTACAAAAAACTATACGCCAACAGATTGGATAACCTAGAGGAAATGGATAAATTCTTGGACTCCTACAATCTCCCAAAGCTCACTCAAGAAGAGGCAGACAATTTCAACAGACCAATCACAAGGAAAGAGATTGAAACAGCAATCAAAAACATCCCAAAGAATAAAACCCCAGGACCAGACGGCTTTCCTGGGGAATTCTACCAAACTTTCAGAAAGGATTTAATACCTATCCTTTTCAAGCTATTCCAAAAAATTAGGGAAGATGGAACACTTCCTAACACATTCTATGAGGCCAACATCACGCTGATCCCAAAACCTGACAAGAACACCACGAAAAAAGAGAACTACAGGCCAATATCACTGATGAACATAGATGCAAAAATTCTAAACAAAATTTTGGCAACCAGAATTCAGCAATTCATCAAAAGAATCATACATCAGGATCAGGTGGGATTCATACCAGGGACACAGGGATGGTTCAACATCCGCAAATCAATCAACGTGATACACCACATCAACAAACTGTGGAATAAAAACCACATGATCATCTCAATAGATGCAGAGAAGGCATTTGACAAGATCCAACAGCCATTTATGATAAAAACTCTGAACAAAATGGGCATAGAAGGAAACTACCTCAACATCATAAAGGCCATATACAACAAACCCATAGCCAACATCATACTCAAAGGGCAAAAACTGAACCCCATCCCCCTGAAAACAGAAACGAGACAAGGATGCCCTCTATCACCACTCTTATTTAACATAGTACTGGAGGTCCTGGCCAGAGCAATCAGGCAAGAAAAAGGAATAAAAGGAATCCAAATAGGGAGGGAAGAAGTGAAACTCTCGCTGTTTGCAGACGACATGATCTTATATATAGAAAACCCCAAAGAATCCATTGGAAAACTGTTAGAAGTAATCAACAACTACAGCAAAGTTGCAGGGTATAAAATCAATTTGCATAAATCAGTAGCATTTCTATACTCCAGTAATGAACCAACAGAAAAAGAACTCAAGAATACAATACCATTCACAATCGCAACAAAAAGAATAAAATACCTTGGGGTAAATTTAACTAAGGAAGTGAAGGACCTATATAATGAAAATTACAAGGCCTTTCTGAGAGAATTGGATGACGACATAAGGAGATGGAAAGACATTCCATGTACATGGATTGGAAGAATAAACATGGTTAAAATGTCCATTCTACCTAAAGCAATCTACAGATTCAATGCCATCCCAATCAGAATCCCAATGACATTCTTTACAGAATTAGAACAAAGAATCCTAAAATTCATATGGGGCCACAAAAGACCCCGAATTTCTAAAGCAATCCTGAGAAAAAAGAACAAAACGGGAGGCATCACAATCCCTGACT